CCCTGTTCCAGACCGAAAATCAATTGTTATGTGGGTCACTACGTTTAGACAAACTGCAAGTGTGACAAAACGAAGAACTGGAGTCCCTCGGCCCATTAGATCACCTGAGAACATTGAGGCAGTCAGAGCTTCAATGTTGCGATCACCACGGCGTTCTGCGCGCAAACATGCATCTGCCCTTGGACTTTCCAGTCGTTCTGTGCGGAGAATTCTCCATGAAGACTTACATTTCCATCCATACAAGATGGCGACTGTACAGGAACTGTCAAAACGTGACTACGATTCTCGCAGGAACGCATGTGAGATTCTTCTGGATGTCGTTCCTGAGGACGCTATTGTTTTTTTTAGTGATGAAGCACATTTTCACTTGTGTGGATCCGTGAACAAACAAAACATGCGCTACTGGGCTGACACCAATCCTCGAGAATTGCATGAAAGGCCTTTGCATTCACCTAAGGTCACAGTGTGGTGTGCAATTTCCTCAGCTGCAATTATTGGTCCCTGGTTCTTTGAGGAAAATGAAGTCACAGTAACAGTGAATTCGGGCCGGTATGTAAACATGTTACAGGAATTCTTTTTACCCCGGCTGAATGCGTTGGACTTGGGAGACATTTGGTTCCAACAAGACGGTGCAACGGCACACACTGCAAGAGCATCGATGGCTGTTTTGAGAGAACACTTCCCAGAACGCCTTATCTCAATCAGAGGCGATTTGCAGTGGCCGGCCCGATCTCCCGATTTGTCCCCTTGTGACTTTTTTTCTATGGGGTTTTTTGAAATCCCGTGTTTATGTGAACCGTCCAAGGACCCTACAAGATTTAAAGAACAACATCCAGGAAGAAATTGCCAACATAACGCCTGCTCTGCTTCAAAGAGTTATGACAAACACCAGAAATCGGTATACTCAATGTATAGAGAATAAGGGACGTCATCTACCTGATTTGATCTTCAAAACTAAATAAAACAAAACTTTAAGTATGTACTTACATTGTAAAAACCAAATAAAATTTTTCCGATTCATACAATGTGTTTTATTAGGTTTTAAAAAAGGAAGTTATGCTGCCCCACCAAATCCAAATGAACCGCTTTCAGCTACCCAGAGGTGCGTGCAAAAACTACGTCGTAAAATGTTCGTTCGACGTTCACCTAAGAAAGAGTTATGAATCTATCTGGGCTTAACCCTTAGTAGCCTGATTTACGCGAGTCTTCTTTTTTAAATATTACTGTATTTGCTTGAGGGTCTAGATGAAGGGAAAAATAGCTAAATAAATCACAATATTTATTTTACATATTTATTTAAAAAAAAAAACAGGTATCAATTTTGATACTTCAGGCATTATGGCCATAAAGAAATCTTAAATGACCTATGCATGAAATAATGCGAAACATCGATTGTTTTTATTATCGCATAACGATACTTTGCATTTTTTACAGAACCAGGAGGTAAGTTTCCTACAATTACTAAATTTACATTTATTCCTAGACTCCATAAATATTTTTTCATGGCCAATACAATCGGAACGCACGTCAGTTGGGGGTAGTACTTGTGCACCTGTCCGGGGTTTTTTAGAGGGTACTGTATTGTCTTGTTGACTGTTGGTACTGGGTCTGCCCCTTTTATTTTTTGAGTGACTTTGATATCTACATAAAGTATCGGCAAGCTCAGTTCTAAAATCTGCTAACTTCATAATATTCTTCTGAAGTTTTCCTTTCCTTGTGTTTACCTTTTTGTACAGTACCCAAGCATTGATGACAGTTATGTCTAACAAGTGGTAGAAGAGCCTCGTTGTCCACTTTCTCGACTTTATGCGAATGCGATATCGACCAATGAAGCTATCCATCAAATCAACGCCGCCCATGTGTGCATTATATTCTTTTACAACCCGAGGACATGATATTTGAATATTGGCCTTTAGTTTTTTTTCGTAGCGGGTTATAGTATCCGCTGGTTCAGCGCCAACATACGTGGATAGTAATAATACCTGTTTGTTGTCTTTCCAACTTGTGGTCGACAATTCTTGGCCTTCGTGAGAGGCCACATTTTAGTAATATGTTACTCTGGGTACGTTAGACTTCATAATTTCCCGTTTCTCCGGCAACTTGCACGACTTTCCAAGCCTGTTTCTCTGTACTGTTCCAAGACAATAAATACCTTCGTTGGTCAAGTAATGTACCAGAGGAATATTCGTATAAAAATTGTCAAAATAAATTATATGATTGACATGCCTTGGTACTGGTCGTAGCAATCGAATAACTGTATTCGACACAGCTCCGAGGTCTGGTTCGCCAGGTAAACGGTCCATGTCCTTAGCTCCCGAGTAAATCTCAAAACTGTAGGCATAACCAGACAGAGAGCATAACACGTATAATTTGAATCCCCACTTATGGGGCTTGTTGGGTAAATATTGTTTCATAAAATGTTTCATTTTTGTGGAACACATCTGCTCGTCTAGTGATAGACGATGCTCAAATGGTAAAGTAATAAATTTCTTGTTCAAATAGTCTATCACTGGTCTTACTTTATGCAGTCGGTCGTGCTGGGGGTGATCAATGGGCAAATGTTTAGAGTCGTCATTCATGTGAAAAATTTCTCTAATTTTATCAAATCTGTTGCGATTCATTGTTTGTACTATGGGTTCAAACTTTGTAATGTTTGACCAGTATGACCGGACACTAGGATAATGATATACACTAGTAAAAATAAGAATTCCAATAAATTTACGTAATTCTAAGACAGTTACAGGTTCTGTAAAGTTGAGATTCTTTTGGAAGGCATATTTATTTGACTCGTCCACTAGAAATCTCAAAATGTCTTCACCGAAAAAATAAGAAAAAAACTGAAATGGAGTGTCTAAGTTCATAATTTCTTGTGAATACTCAGTATTTCCAGCAAACTGGAAAGCATTTTGGACTAAATCCATATTTTTTTTTTCTCCACACTAAGTTTCTAGAGTTGAAAGGTGCAGTTTGCAGGTTGTTCTGGCTGCTGGTTGTAGGAGTTGGGTTTCGTTCAACAGTCTCTAAATTATGTTGCATGTCGGTATCTACGTTTGCTGCAGGCGGATCTGCATCCAAGTTTGGGTCAGTGGGAAAATTACCTACATCCTCTTCATCATCTAGCTCCATCAGACGATCTCTTTGGCTCGAATAATAGTCTATGTCATCTTCATTGTCGGTGGAATCGTCTTCCGAAATTTCACCATTTTCTAACCGCTTCAATATGTTCTCAATCTCTTCTGGCCGCATTTTGGATAAATTTCTATAATAAATAAAAACAAAAGTAATCCCCACACCAAGCTATGCAGAAAAAATATGAAACGAAAGTTCAAAAAGTTTTATAGCTAAAGAGTTAGTAGGTAGGTTTTATGTAGGGCGGAATGCCTGAAGTATCAATATTGATACCAAAAAAAAAGCACTAATTTCTTCAAGTAAAACATGCATTTGCTAAAAATAATTATATCATAGCGAAAATAATGTATTCACTTACCTCAAAAGTATTTATATTCTTCAGAAAAAGAAAATATATCAAATTTATATTCAACAAAACTTTTAGTAAAATGTGTTTACTTGTTCACTTTGCCGCGCAAGTAATATGTCACAGATAAAATAAAACAATAATGACATTTGTTTTTTTTTAATTTCGTTGGATAGAATACTATACAACAGTAAAATACATACAGCCAACATATAAAAAAAACTAATAGTAATGTGAATATTCGGTTTAAAATATTAGTATCAAAATTGAAACTCTAGGTTATTAAGGCTTAAAGCACGTTAGAATTGTTTGCACGTTAACCAAATGCAGATTATTCAGTTATCAACCATTGTAAACATTAACGTTTAGTGGGAAGATTACTGCGCAATAAACCAACCATCCACTACTAAAACAATCAATAGACAACTTAACCTAGACAAACTTAATTAAGTATTTGATTGTTACTATGGCTACATGCAACATTCGCGAATAGTCATGCATACACTAACCGTGTAATGCGTTATAAATTGAATTTTACAAACGTTAAGAAGTTGAGCCGTGGTAGCTCAGTGGTTAACGCTCGCTGTAAATATAACAGAACGCGAGTAACCCGGGTTCGATCCCCGCGGCACCAATGAAATTGTTAATTGCAATTTAAGTGCTGATTTACCACGTGCTCGGCGGTGAAGGAAAACATAGTGAGGAAACCTGCATCTCGGAGGAATAAGAAAAAAAATATTTCGAAGACATGTGAAGTTCGTCAACACGCATTTGGGCAGCGCGGCGGACACTTCCTTGCCATAAACCCTCTCAGAAATGAGGGGAGGCCTAAGCCCAGCAATGGGACGTATATAGGCTGTAACTTTACTTTTTTACTTAAACCTTAAGAAGGCGAGAAATGTATATCAGGATTGTTCTAAATGGAAGTCAGTGGTCTGTGGTCTGACCCCTCTGGGTAACGGACGTGAGTGCATATGTGTATGTAAATTTACGAAGTCATGTGATATATTTAGTGAGTTTAAATCAATAATACAATAAATGAAATATTTTTATCTTTTTTTTTTATCCGACTCGAAGGACCAACAAACTGTACTTCATTGCAATGCAATTTAATAATTTTATCCTTGGTAAATAAAAAACCATAATGCTTTATTAGTCGAATTACCTTTTATAATTGCAAATATAGTATAATTAGCTTTTATATATGCAAATAGGTAAGTTAGTACGATTATGAAGTAATAGTTCCACAGATTATACAGAAAATCGATGGCACCTTTTAGACCAATTTAATCTTGTAAAAATTAAAATGCAGTACCTACGATACCTCTATCGAATGTAAAAACCCAAACAAGCTACTAGGGGTAGTGTTATGTGTCTGAAAAAGAGTCAAAAAAGATATCATGTACAGCTATCATTGATCTTGCCAAGGGTGGCGACTAAAACAAATTCTCTTCACAATGGGAATGCACGTGTCTAGCTATGGTATACTAAAAACAATGAGCTTATGTTGGATTATTGCTCTCAGCGTGGCAAATCCCCGTCACCGGAAGTGTACCATGAGCCCAGCGTGGTGCGAAGTGCGGCGGGCTCTGCCGACACCGCGCTGGCGGCCGACCGACACACCGCCTCGCGCATGATCTCCGTGTTCCGTCAGCTGGAGGAGCAACGACACAAGCCCGACGATACACAGGGTGAGCCACTCTCACACATACTCGCCACACCGACACACCGCCTCGCGCATGATCTCCGTGTTCCGTCAGCTGGAGGAGCAACGACATAAGCCCGACGATACACAGGGTGAGCCACTCTCACACACACACGCACACTCGCCACACCGACACACCGCCTCGCGCATGCTCTCCGTGTTCCGTCAGCTGGAGGAGCAACGACACAAGCCCGACGATACACAGGGTGAGCCACTCTCACACACACACGCACACTCGCCACACTGACACACCGCCTCGCGCATTATCTCCGTGTTCCGTCAGCTGGAGGAGCAACGACACAAGCCCGACGATACACAGGGTGAGCCACTCTCACACACACACGCACACTCGCCACACCGACACACCGCCTCGCGCATGCTCTCCGTGTTCCGTCAGCTGGAGGAGCAGCGACACAAGCCCGACGATACACAGGGTGAGCCACTCTCTCACACACACACACACACACTCGCCACACCGACACACCGCCTCGCGCATGCTCTCCGTGTTCCGTCAGCTGGAGGAGCAGCGACACAAGCCCGACAATACACAGGGTGAGCCACTCTCACACACACAAGCACACTCGCCACGCCGACACACCGCCTCGCGTATGCTCTCCGTGTTCCGTCAGCTGGAGGAGCAGCGACACAAGCCCGACGATACACAGGGTGAGCCACTCTCTCACACACACACACACACTCGCCACACCGACACACCGCCTCGCGCATGCTCTCCGTGTTCCGTCAGCTGGAGGAGCAACGACACAAGCCCGACGATACACAGGCTGAGCCACTCTCACACACACGCACACTCGCCACACCGACACACCGCCTCGCGCATGCTCTCCGTGTTCCGTCAGCTGGAGGAGCAGCGACACAAGCCCGACGATACACAGGGTGAGCCACTCTCACACACACACACACACTCGCCACACCGACACACCGCCTCGCGCATGCTCTCCGTGTTCCGTCAGCTGGAGGAGCAGCGACACAAGCCCGACGATACACAGGGTGAGCCACTCTCACACACACACGCACACTCGCCACGCCGACACACCGCCTCGCGCATTATCTCCGTGTTCCGTCAGCTGGAGGAGCAACGACACAAGCCCGACGATACACAGGGTGAGCCACTCTCACACACACACACACACTCGCCACACCGACACACCGCCTCGCGCATGCTCTCCGTGTTCCGTTAGCTGGAGGAGCAGCGACACAAGCCCGACGATACACAGGGTGAGCCACTCTCACACACACACACACACTCGCCACACCGACACACCGCCTCGCGCATGCTCTCCATGTTCCGTCAGCTGGAGGAGCAGCGACACAAGCCCGACGATACACAGGGTGAGCCACTCTCACACACACACGCACACTCGCCACGCCGACACCGCCTCGGGCATGCTCTCCGTGTTCCGTCAGCTGGAGGAGCAGCGACACAAGCCCGACGATACACAGGGTGAGCCACTCTCACACACACACACACACACTCGCCACACCGACACACCGCCTCGCGCATGCTCTCCGTGTTCCGTCAGCTGGAGGAGCAACGACACAAGCCCGACGATACACAGGGTGAGCCACTCTCACAAACACACACACACTCGCCACACCGACACACCGCCTCGCGCATGCTCTCCGTGTTCCGTCAGCTGGAGGAGCAGCGACACAAGCTCGACGATACACAGGGTGAGCAAATCTCACGACCACGGACATTGTGATTAGGCAAACTTACCCAAATGTATTACATTATAATTAGTTCCACATACCCAAACCTTCCAAGATGGTAATAGGCACGCATACTTTAACCTAGTACACTGTGAATAAGCACATGCACTAAAACGTACTATTATATTTAATCCCACCTACCCAAACTTACTATAGTGTGAATACATACATACTATATACATACGTACATACGTAATCTAATGTAGTAGGTTATGAATAGGCGTGGATGTCCGAGTCTAGTACTTTGTGTATAGGCACACGTACTCTAACGTACTACATTATGAACAGTCCCACCTGCACAAACCTACCACATTGTAAATAGGCACGCATGGCCGAATCTAGTGTACATTGTGAACAGTGACATGCGTGCCCAATCCTATCACAATGTAAATACACATATTTAAACCTAAGTTGTGATTGGTGGATCATCTTAATTCATAATACTCTTTTTTTAATTTTAGGTCCAAAACCCCTGAAGTGCTTTACTCCCCCACCTCCTGGCGAAGCAAACCATCAAGGGGACACCTCTGAGGAGGAGTCCAGTTCCGAGTATGAGGAGGACAGCGAGGAGGAACGTAGGAGAATTTATCTCGAAGCGAGGCAAAGGGACGAGGCACTTAAACAGGTAAGAAAATATTTTTAATGATGATAAAAATGTACATGTATAGTGTGCCACGACAATGTATATTATAGTGTTTAGTTTAGAATAAGACAGTAGTATAATTAGTCAGCAAGAGTAATACGTCTCCTGCTTCATTTTACACCTGCCAACATTACACATATATGTGCATCGCAATGGCATAAATAGGCATAATTCGTTCGTTCGTATTACCGACAGATTACCCATAGAATAGAATAAAATAATTTTTGTTAATTGTTGTAAAAAACGAATACCCTCGCATTTTGTTTAGTTAGTTAAAATTAGCCTGTACAGTCTCCTTCCTCTTCCCGCACGGGCCTAATGAAGGGGGGAGGCTATTTTGGTGGCCTTATTTTGTTCGCCCAATGGGAGGTGCGCTGGCCAAAAGTACGAGTACGTCCGAGTACGAGTTGCAGCGCAGTCTTGGCCGTAATAGCACCCTGTGGCAGTCGCGCCACAAAACATTGCAATTTCGTCATGCACAAGGGCAATGCAAACAATTTGTCGTGACCGCTTGCCCAGTGCATATTCGCCGCGCACTTCTCTCACAGTTAGAATAGTTGCAACGTAGTTCCACCAGCCCCGAGACCTTAGTAAGAGCCCGCTCGCAGAACCCTCCTATAAGTGCCTGTTCCTTTAAATCTTGGGCTGTCTTTTATTTGTTGTTCTTTCCCTTGGCAGCTCATGTTTTCCGTCATGCCGGTACAAAGACCGCCACGTGCCGCGTCCGCCATTTTGTTTGGAATATAACGAAGTACGCAGATCCAGTCCACCAATAGGGTCAACCCAGAATATCTTTCGTTATTCTCGTACCCAATATTTTTGGGGTATTATTAATTTTATATTATTTATTATATTGTTATTCCCGAAATCGAACCCAAAACCCTATTGCCCAATCACATTTCTGTTCCTTCACTCCGGATTTGAAAGGACAACCTAGTCGCCCTACCAATATTACAAAAATACTAATTGAACGTAATTTATGTTTTTACCACCGGTTCGGAAAATGCAAGAATCCCGGCGGGACTTTAAAATATTTATTTTCAAAAAGCACTAGTTTTCAGCAATCACCATAAGTGTGGATGCGTTATTTTACTCGTTTGAAGAAATCTGCAAATATACAATATACATCTAATACTTAACTCAGATAACTGAGTTAAGTATTAGATGTATATTGCAGACAATTAGTGTAATCAATATTATTTGACATTCAAGAAGTTCCTACACAAACCGAGACAAAACTAGAACTTTCGTGATCAACAATATATGCTAACAAGAAAAGACATTATTTACATAAACATATGGTCGCGTCTTGATTGCGTCAACATTCTTGCGTAAACGTGATGCAACACGCTGACTGTCCTAACACTATCTTCTATCAAATGTTACCGTTACCGATACAGCCTATTAAAGTCCACTGCTGAACGTAGATCTCCGCCATAAAATCCTAGAACGGATAATTTTGTCACAGTTGCCACACTTGGCAAACGGGTTGGCAACCGCAGTTTTACTTTTATTTTTTGTCGTTATCAGGAAGACCCTGCTGACCATCTCTAGATCTGTTTCCCTCTGTGGCCTCTTACGATACCCACGGGATGATATGGGGTAGTTGATATTCTTATACCGTCATTAGACGGTATAAGACTGTATATTTGAGTGTGTATTTGAGTCATCAATACACTGAACAAGGCGCAACACGAAGTAATGCTGAGATAAGCAATAGAATGTGAGATAAGCTTGTTGACGCATAAAGTTACTATCAATTCCACTGCAGAAATTCTTCAGATTTGAATTATTACTTACTGGTACTATATATGACCAAGCAACTAGGTAAGCTAGCTAGCTAGGCAAACTGGTACTATATATGACTAAGCGACCTATCTGTTGATTAATTTGGTTAATCCTGACTTTATTATTTTAATTCCTCAGGCTCAACAATTGGCTAGAACGAAGAGTTTCCGAGACCGCTTCGAGCACTGGTCGGAATCGGAGCCACAACGCTCACCTTCTAGCGTGCTCATCCAGAGGGAATACAACGAGGAAGATGGGGAATCGCAGCTGGAAACTGCGAGAAGGTAAGTCTGGACATGGACCACAACTATCATCATCATCATCACCATTGTAAATAGCCTTTCAAAGTCCACCGCTTAAAATAAACCTTTCCCATGGATAACCTCATAATATTTGCCACCTGGTGAGGTTACAAAAGCAATCTTTTCTTCTTATTGAGTTGTTATGAGGTAGACGCTTCTGCCCATGTGGCTCGTACGACAGCCACGGGACGATATGCGGTAGTGGATATTCTTAAACTGCCACTATACTGTCAACTGCTGCCTATGATGACCTAAAGTCAACTTCTAAAGTAAGAAACGCTACAAACGCCTTGTCATCCATAAGGAACATGATAGAGTAGCTCCCAGCCAGCAGTGTATCATACTGGCTTTCAATACCACAGATTCACTAATGGTTACTACGTACTCTTACCCTCCAGGGGCGACTTCATATGGTTAGCGCTCGCTGTAAAGTTTACAGTATGCGAGCAACCTGGGTTCGATTCCCGCCGGCACCAATGAAATTGTTAATTGCAATTTTAAGTGCTGATTTACCACGTGCTCGACGGTGAAGGAAATCATCTTGAGGAAACCTGCATGTATGAGAAATATGAAAAAAAAAAATATTGCGAAGACATGTCTCACCCTCCATCACGCATTGGGGCAGCACGACGGACATAACCTTGTCCTTTAACCCTCTCAGAAATGAGAGGCGGCCTGTACCCAGCAGTGGAACGTATATAGGATGTAACTTTAACTGTAACTGTAACCCTTCAGAGTGGAACACAATAGTGCACGCTCTGCTATTTGGCAGCAGAAATAGATAAGAGGGTGGTTTCTCTCAGGCGTACTAATAGCCAGAAAAAACTGCTAGTAATCACTCTCCTGGCGAATATCCTTGTTGTCCAGCCAGAGGTACCTTAAGGTTGATAAAAATTTGATTGTTCCAGCTTGCGTGAGAAATTCGAGAAGATGAAAGTTCAGCAAACTACTGTCACCAAAACCGTCGTGCCCAAAGTGAATCGATTTGTGGTGAGCGATTTTTTTTATTTTATTTTACTCAATATATTATTGTTGTATGTTACGAACTTCGCCAATTACAAACTGCAGTCACAAACAGGCTTATAGTCCAGCTGATGGTAGCGGCTGGTGGAATCCATAAGCACCTTTATACGTGGTAAAGCCAAGCTGCAGATATATTACCGGGGAAGGACCACGCTCTCAGAGAATACCAGAGTAAAAAAGCAGTTTAATACTGCTGTGTTTCGTATGGTGAGTGTAGAGAACCGGAGACCCTTTCTACTGGAAACAAGGCATTCCATCTTAGTCCGTAGGGGTAACAACGCGTCTGCGTTTTGATTCTTAATCGAGGATAAATATAAAAATATTAATTATTATTCTATAAAAAAAGCTAGTTTTTTTTAATACGCAAAATGGTCTCATTTAACAAAAAACATCCCTACGTTTAGAAAATAGACGATAAATGATTTAATGTAACTTTTGAAACGACATTCTAGCTGTGCTAGTGACTGTTCTAGATGACCTTCAGCTTGTGATGTTCCTTAGTTAACTCAAAAAGGTCAGAAAACTTTAAGATACTATAAGTTCTTTCTGCGTAGATCGGACCATTAATTAATAATTTTGAGCCGTGGTTAACTACGACATTGCGACGAAAAGCAACTTAACCGCACCAACACGGGTGTATAATATAGAAATAAGTTAATTTAATGCGATATAATTCGTAAAAACTAGTTTCATTAGAGAATTGTCATTTTACTAATGTATTTTCACACCTTTCAGTGACCGCTGCGTGAATCGCCGGCTACTGCCTTCGTTTACCAAAGTGTTTTTTATTTAAATCATTATAATTGTAAAGTCGACACTTGCCCTCTGACATTGTGCGGATATTCATGACTAAAGTAAAAGTTAATTTAAAAAGTGATAAAAATATTTATTATATGTTTTTATCACATGAATATTTACTATAAGTAATTTAAAAATTACCGATCTTTCACGAACTGTCGAAATTGTAGTAAAATAATTTAAAGTTATGATTACCCGCAATACGAACATATACCTAAGTTAAGTTTGTAATCTTTTTACTATTAGATGGTTAAAATATTTATTGTAGTCGATGTGGGACTGATCAATGTTGCATTTTGAAACGAGTGCCTTAGGAAAGTGCAATTTTAAGTAAGACGCTCGAGTCTTCATTGTTCACGTGACTAGGAAAACCGGAAAAATTTCGCTCCAAATTGACAATTTTATTTATATAACTTTTATAGGAAACGTAAGATTTTCTAATTTGAAAGAGTATTTACAAATGGTATTATTGGATTTATATTTGTAGAAACAGTGTTTCTACTTTATAAATATAATTATTATATAAAAAAATTTGAAGTACTGTCATAATTATTAATTTTATTTATGAATCTCTTGTCATGTCATAATTATTAATTTTATTTATGAATCTCTTGTCATTGAAATTTCAATCTTAGCTATACAGATTTAAGGTATAATTTAGGTTTACAAACTACATTTAATTTTCATATGTATAATGCTGTGAACGCAAATATAACATGGAAGCTACTATTTTATTACTACATTACTATAACTCACCTATTGAAAGCTATTATATTTTATAATGAATCAGAACGCACAGTCAAAAGTGACCTTATTTCGTGTGAGCTTTTGGTTTCAATTGCCATACATCATAAAAGTCGCTTACAACGTTTATTATATGATGCCATTGTGCTTGTCACTCGTCGCCCTTGACATTTTCTGTAATTAAGGTGCAATGCAAATTATAGCAGTATTACGATAGGTATTAGAACTGAGCTCGTTCGTAGTGCAATGAGAGCATCCGCGACTTTTTCTGCCCCCTGGGCGGCGCCACTTTAGAATGAGGTGTAATATTTGACAGATTTCATTGGGAGGAGGGTTTAATATTTCTTTCTGTACTATTAGTTTAACTAGATCAGAAATGAATATACCGTATCCTTACGTAGGTAGGTATACGGATATCCTTAGCCCTCATTGATAAGCGACACCTATCGCAGCTCAATTTGCGTTGGGTTATTTTTAGTGCTAGGAATTGCTCCATGTTTAATTCGCGTTCATTGATATAATGCAAATATGTATACAAGATTTTGTTTTACGTCCTACGACGTATTTATTTTTCATCCTTCGTATCTCTACGTGCCATTAACACGGGCTCATTGCACATACTCAAATGTTACCTATTTACAAAAAATTATATTTATATTCGAATTGGAAAATATTATTGCAATTGGCCCAGTTTTATTATTTATGACGTTTGTATTATTGCATGTTTAATATTCAAAAATATTTCAACGTAATTTAAGCTCACTATGACTGAATATTGATTCTCTCGTATTTTATGTTTGTACTTAATAAAGCTGGTTTGTCGATGTTTTTAATTTTTGTACTATCACACATTTATAAAACGTAATAAATAATTGGAAATCTCTGCATTTTGTTTAATTTTGGCATTACAGTCTATACTTTTTAATTTTTTTATATTACATTGAATAGATTACAAATATTATTGGTTCCAAACATTAGGCTGCTAAATGTAAAAGTTCATTGTTCGCCATGCGTACAGCAAAGGAGAGAAATAAGTTGCAAGCCACATCTACTATGTATCTACTATCTAAATGTTACAACCCTTATCTTGAGATTTAATTTTAGTGTACTAAATAAAAATAATGCACACAAGCTCAGAACAGTGATTTGTGGGATTCCTCGGAGGAGGCCTACGTTCAACAGTAGACTTGTGAAGGGCTGTGATAATTAATAATTATCATAAATTCAAAAGAACAATTTTTTCGACTAAAATGATTTGGTAATAGCGCCATCTATGTATAATATCGTCATTCTCTAGGTAAAGTTAAAATTGTTTCTTAAGGTGGTAGTACGTACAATAGACGCTAGATGAAGTTATAAAATCTTGAATTGCTATGAATGGATTGGTTATTGACAATTTTATTCATTATGGTTAATTTTATATATTTAATAAATTTATTAATTTTTAATATTGTTTATTTTAACAGTTAAAATTTATATCAACCATCTTTAAAGCACTGGGGTGCTTTAAAGCTTTGTGGGCAAAGAGGAGAACGTGATAATAGAAAACAGTGTATTTTAAAAAAAAAGCAATGCTTATTACCTTACCAATATACCCTTTAACACTATGGGTTATCTGAAAATGCTCGTGTTAGGAGTGGTTCACCACAGTAGTCGAACGGCGGATTTGAACTCACAACCTTTTGAGTTCGTTGTACGCACCCTGCCGTTAGGCTACTGTCACTCACTACACTATATTCTATCTCATTCTCTCGCCGGCTAAATCCTATAGATGTGTGTCTCTTTTTAGTGTGGTTTTAGCTTTAGTGGTAGTAGTATTAAAAATAGTACAGAAGAGTTTATACATATAAGTAATTATTGCCAAAGAAACTTTTTAAGCGTGTAGTTTGTGACACCCGCGGGATGATACGGCGGGTAGCTTGTCTCCATAGAATACTATAATACATAATAGAATGGCTGTCAACCTTATTTTGTACGGGGGTCGGCGTCGCCGCACACATATAAGGAATTATTAGATATTATCACTACTATAAACCCGATTCGCTGTGTTGACAGACTGAGTAAATTTAAACATTTTAGACTTTTGATTAATGTTCAAGATCATCATTAAAAAAATCGTTTAAATTTTAATACATATTTATTTGTAAATAGTGTGCAATTTGGTATTTTCTAAATAATTTAAATGCGAAATTTGGAAACGATTGTGACGTCAAAACACGTCTCGTGTTGACAGTTATATGTGTGAATGACATGATAGTGAAATTTTAGTAGCTACACGGGCTCTGCCCGCTCCCCTGTTCTATTATGTATGTATTATAGTATTCTATGCTTGTTTCTTTTTGTAACACGACAGCGAAAATCTACACTTTAACAGTATCCGTCATATTGTTGTTGTTTCCACATTTCGACGCATAAAATTTGCTTGGTGGCACATAATCTTCAAAGTTAAGACAAAATTTCAGCCCAATCAACTAAGCTTTATGTGCTTTCCTTTTTAAACAAATTTTAATGCAGATGTTCTTGTAAAGGTTCCTAAGGACCTAAGGAATCCTTTTAACTCTATCGACAGGGTCACTCTGCTGAAAGAACGGGCTAATAATATCCTCGAAATTTATCATTACATTTGGCAATGTTTTAATCTAAATGCTAACTTGTTTTACAAGAACCATATTATCAATTCTACTGTCGGTGTTCAGCAGAGAGACCAACCATGACGAGCTCTTTTCAGTTTGGAAATTCAATCTATTACCTATTTTTAATTTCAAATCCAAACTGAACGTCAGGCACCAGAATGACGGTACACTACGATATTATGAAGGTGTCATCTGCTCTACGATGGCGATGATTGTTCAAATTAAAAAAAAAATGTTGGTCCTTAAACCAAAGAGCAATAAATTGTATGTGTGAATTAATTATTTTCGGTATTTTGTGTAAAACTTGGCACCTAATTGATACCTAAAAAGCCCCAAATTTTGGCTTTTTCTAAATGCAAAATCCTGACCTTCGTCACTTGAAACACAACTTCGTTAGTGTCCTTGTATTAGCGGCGTCCACGAATTTGAGCTCCACGGAGTGTCATGTTAGTAGTGCTGGTAAGTTGTCACACAAGGTTCTCTGAATTATGTTTCTCTAATTATTTCACAAGGCTCTATAACCGAAGGAGCATTTATAGAGGAGAGGTAACGTCCTAATTTGGGATGATACGTGCGTAGATACTTTGGCAGCCTCTCAATTCAGGGGTATTGTGCATAGAGCCGCAAAATCGTAGGCGGTAGAACTAAATAAGTAGAGAAAGTATGTCTCTGAGAGATAACTACATATTATAAGGATTATCAGTTCCAGTCCACATGCGGAAAAGTTCTTAAATGAACTCTATTTGCGACTTTACTTTGCCGCTGGTAATAAGAAGGTGGGTTCTTTTCTCGCTTAAGGTTATAGCCATTCGATCCAAAAATGTACAGCCATTCAGCGAGAAAACGCAGTCAGTTTTCTTGGCACTATATACTGTGAGGAATAGATAATATCGTTTGATAATTTGAGAGTTTAGTTTTTTTTTTAACATGAAAATCAATATTGTACTTATATTTTAGTCTTATGTGAATAAATTATAAAGTAAAAATATACCCAAACTGAAAGAACTATCAGTTTGTACCTACATGAAACTGAGACGTGGTCCTTCAAAGCTCGTATGATGATGCCTAAAATCGCTCAGTGAGTTATGGAGCGTGAGAACCAGAATAATTGACATAAACCAACTGATGTCCTCATGAAGTAGCTCGAGGAATCGAAAATTTACTGGGAAGAAAAGCTGTCGAATGGCAGCCAGGTATCAAATATACATGCAAGAAGGGCATGGTTGCGGTCGCCCAAGACATATGTTCAGCAGTGGACTGGTAGAGGGCTGTAATGATGAGGATTTTTAAATATATCCCCCCCCCCCCCCCCCCCGTACGATGCCAGGATCTTATTCCTTAATCAGCAGGGGGTATCGCGTACAGCTGAACTTGGCAATTTGTGGAAGAGATCTAGACTAGTGTACTGTGACTAATCTAGATCTAGATAAAGCCTATGAACCATAGCATCGGCATCGCCATATTAAAAATTACAACCAACGACTAGCTAATGCTGTGGTAAGCTTTTTAATTCATTCCCAATTTTAAGAAAAAGGAAAATAAAAAATAATTAACTTAACAAATTCTATTTTCCAAACATAAACGTAAAAATGATAAATAAATTGACAAATCGCTATATTTTTACCGGAACAGATTTAAGACCACCAAAACTCACTTTTTTTAACGAATTAAATATGATTTGCAAATTGGAATTAAATATTAAATTCAATAAACAATATTTTAGATTAGATTTGCACATCGACAAACTATTGCAATACGAATTTATCAAATTTGGATTTTCTTATATATAATTAATACTATAATTTAATAGCCATCGCTTAATTAAATTAAACAACTAAAATATTCAATTTGGATAAAAGCAGAAAACAGCGCGTCGCCATTTTTCCTAAAAGAACAGAATTATTCA